TCAGGGAGCAATTCGCCAGAGCTCGCCAGTGACGGCGGGACGGAGACGACCAGACTGGGCAGGCTGATGGAGGACTGGGAGGACCATTGAGGACCAGACTGGGCAGGCTGATGGAGGACTGGGAGGACCATTGAGGGGGACCTGCTATCCTTGCAGTCTGACGTTGGTCTGAAATGTGTTGGAATATAAGAAGAGGATGGATGGTCAGAGAAGGACTGATGTTTACTTGCTGTGAGCGCGGCGTTGTGAGCGCGGCGCTGAGCGTGGCGCCGTGAGCGCGGCGCTGGCAGGCGAGCCACAGGCGGCTCATGAGGACCAGCATTAATCAGGATTCAGCCTCTTCATCTTTGTGGCCTTTTAAAATAATCAACCAGACTTCCTGCAAATGAACGAATGGTTCAACTTTAGTCTGCCTTCATGTTCTGTCCTGTTTTCTACCCATCCACCCCCTTAGCAGCTGTACCCCCCCCAGGCTGCCTTAGTGCTGTTTACATGTTAAACATGAATTAAACCAGACATCTGATGTGCATTCTCTACAGGTTTATAGTTGGATTCTACTAATTTTGTATTAAATAATCCTTGTGGAACTGAGGTGTAATCCTTCATTAGTGGACGGTCAGTTTGATCCAGCAGACAAGGTGAACCGGCTGCCCTATTTTTAACCTAAAGATTAATCAGGGATTGAGGTTTTAAAGCGCCGCTAGTGAAACGCATCACAAATAGCCTCCAGTGTGACAAAATAAGTTCACTATTCTCAGCCTGCTTAGAGCTGCAGGCGGGTAATAAAGTCACCAATGGTCCCCCCCCCCCCCCCCCCCCCCCCCCCCCCCCCCAGTCTCTATAAATGTCCCACTGAGCACTAAATCCATCTTTATACACCGCCGCCGAAAGCTCTGCATGTTTCTGGGTGAACAGAAACTTTTTCTCACTAATGGAAATATGTAGAGGCGGCCATGTTTATTTTCAGCAGGAACCTTTAGGTCAGTTTAATACGATTAATATGATTTATTTTTATTTTCTGGAGTTTTTAACGACATTAGTGGCTCTTTTATTCAACCGAAGGCTGAGAGGAAAGAGGGTATGAGAGAGAGAGAGGGAAAGGATCACAGGTCGGATTCGAACCCGCGTCGCCGCCGCCGTACATGGGTCGTTCACGTTAACCCTTTCATATCAACAAGTGATACTAAAGGGTTACAGCAGCATCCAGCTCAGGTCCAACTACAGGCCTTAAAGATCTAAACTTCCCTCAACCGCGACTCTGGAGCTCCGTTTCCACAGGCCGTATGAAACTGTGCTGTGATTGGTCCAAGGACGGTAACTGAGTGTACATGTCACGCACGACTGAACCGGACCGCGCTAACATGGTGCTACTTCATCAGTGATGAAACTCAACGTTTATCATCGTTTCCTGCGTCTGGAAGCCCTGATTAGACGATCATTTGTCGTTTCCACTTCCAAAAAGCCGACTCTGTCAAATCCACCAATGGCGGCCTTCTTCGCCCGACTCTCCGCAAACAGTGAAATATCACAATTATTACCAAACTTCCTGAACATTACGAGCGCCGCCATGTTGGTTTCCCTCTAGTAGTAGTACCGTAGATCGCCACAGATCGGGGTCAGAGGGCAGTGTAAACGGGAATGTTTTCCAGTCAACCCCTCAGCATGATGCTCCCACCTCCATGCATCACTATGGCGCTCTCTCTACAGAACCATTGAGCTTTTCTATGTTGACCCTTTTTTTCTGGTCTCATCTAAAAACTCTGGAAACTTTATTTTCATGAAAGCTTATTGGAGAATTAAAAGTTATCAGATTAACAGCTTTAAAAATCTGAATGATTTTACTGGTGGACTTTTTTTTTAGCTGTAAGGTTCCCGCTGGCAGGTTTGCCGTTTCTCCTCCCATCATCAGATCCTTTAACCAGGCGCCTAAAGCCTGGGGAGCAGTTCTAATAACATAACTCTACGTCGCTCCTAAATGTGTGCTTAGTTTCCTGATGCCTTTTGCTCCCTCATTATTAGCAAACCTCCAAAGCCCTGAGGAAGCCTGTATTTATACTGAGGTGGTCCGTTAATTCATGGGGCAGCTTGATTAAAGTGAGCTGGATCCAAAGATGCGTCAGATTTTACAGTTTTATTCATAAAAAACAAAACATCTCTTCGTCTTCGTTCTTTATTGCATGAAACTGCATCAAATGAGCTGAAATCTGTGGTTTAATGTGACAAAATTCTGAAAAGTTTACGGGTATGAATATTTAGAGATGCTAAACAATCATCGATCAGGCAGAAAGACGGACGGATCCCGTCTCCTGGGAATGACATCCAGAGTCCCTGTGATTCAAAAACGTCTTCAGTGCCGAGAAATGAAAATGAAGCTTCGCGTGTTCAGGATGTCCTTCGTCCCGCTGGAATGTGGAATAATCATGGAATTCAGCCTCCTAAAAACAGGAAGCAAACAGAAACACTTTCAGCATGATTGTAATCTAAAGTCTATAATCCAGATTATATAATCCGTACCTTCATACATAGATGCCGACCCAGAGCAGTAAGAACAGAACACCGAAGCCCATGAAAAGCGAAGCTACCAGGGAGATCAGCAGCTCCTTATAAACATCCCTGGTGTACTTTGTTGATGTTACTTCATAACTGATGGAAAGTTCAGGTTAAATCGCACAGAAATATGAGCAAAAAAAGAAGACAATAAAAAAAGAACATTAAATAAAAGAATAAACCTTAAACTGTGGTTAGATTTCCTCTACATGACACAGTTTTACATTTATGTTCTCATCTATTAAAACATGATAAAAAAACAGAACTACGGTTAAAACCAATCTAACCTCCAAACTCCACCGCCGGACTAATTAACTAACGCGCTGCAGAAAATGTAGGAACCAATTTATGCTTCGGTTCAAACTCTGACCTACAAGCATCACTGGAAGAGATTAAATTCACCAGAACTATGAAATGAAAGCTGAACGTTCCCGGCTTTAAAACACATATTGCTGCCGTTGTTCTGTCAGACCAGCATACCCCATCAGACCAGCATACCCCATCAGACCACGCATGCAGGTCGTCAGATTGCCATACGCTAAAAAAAACCCAACCAAAAATGAATTAAATAGTTTTTTCTGTACGTGACTAAAGGCAGACTCGTCGCTGAGGAAGTATAAAGTGTATTTAGAGAAGGGTCTAGCTGCACCTGCATCCATCTACAAAACGCCTCCCGTATAAATCCCTCCTCCCGCCCCGCCAATCATCGTGATATTGATTTAGACGTTTCGTCATCTGGGATGCAGCGGCTCGGCAGAGCAGAAGGCAGATTAACTGAAGTGAATCAAACGTGAGAAAGATGCTAACTACTAGCAAGGTAGGAGTTAGCCCATTAAAAAGTAATAATAATCTCCTTTAATGTTGGGATTAAAAAGTTAAATCCAAGAACACATTTCTGTACAAAGCTTTAAATGTTGAAATGAAAATGCTATAAAATCCTCCTGAAGTAGCGAACCCAGAAAGCGATGCTTCTGCGTTTAAAGCAGTTTAGCTTTAAATCCTGTTTACCTCAGAGAGAGACTTTATGTTTTCACACATTCATAAACTAGCCTACCTGACTTCCTGTATGCTAGAGGAGCAGCTTTTATTTCCGGGTGGATCATCTCTATCAATGGTCCTCCTAACTGTCAATCATTCTGGTGATGCGTTTACGTAAGGCCGTCCTACGCGCTCGTCCCGTTATCTTTATCTGCGCACGTTCCGGTGTATATCTTTGTTGAGCTCCGGAGTCAGACGGTCACTGAAGCTCACCTTTCTCAACGTTCTTTGAGGGTCGGAAGAGAAAAAGGTTGTTTCTCAATTCACTAGAAGGCGAGTACGGACACGTGTTCTCACCAAGTCTGTTCCTGAGAAGAACCCAGGAAAGTCTGGACTCTGGGAGAACGGGAGCACGCAGAATAAATCTGGATCAACTGGAACAGCAGCGTACTGATGACATCACCACATTCAAAGCT